TTTCGCGTTTTAATACTATCGTTAGACGACGATGTCCCCGATCCCGAGCTCAATCGGCCGAGACGGTTGAAATTAAAATAATTTTGCGATTTATTATCGCAGTTAATTCAACATCGTGTGTATTTATTATGCTTTGCATTTATTATCGTGACAGAATCTAATTGGTCCCGGAATTTATAGTCCTCGGCCGTTTCAGGTCTTTATGACCCACATTCGCCTCCAGCGATACGAAACAAAGAGATACGTTGATTCACGCACGGTATAATTCCTCAAACCACGACGATTTTCTTGCTGCAATTCTCTCTGTTTTTTTTTTTTTTTTCTTTTTCTCGAACGATACGTTCATTCGTAGCAGGTAATATATTACAATATTTGACATGCCATCCAACGAGCTATCGTATTTTCTGCGTTGTTTTTTCAACAAAGTGCATTTATAGCTTGATCGATATCAACAACTGGAAGGTTGAGCACGTTAATTATTACATAATGGTGTTGTACACGACCGTGCCGTCAGATTAAATTTTATATCGGAATTTTATATTCGATTAATTCTAATAACTGTTCGATTAAGAGTAATATATTGTTACTTAATGATCACTGACGATTTTTCAGATTTTCTTTTGCTGGTGAAGGTATATTTTGGTTATATTTATGGAATTTACTTGGAAAATATTTTAACATTGCTTCGAAACGCAGAATTTCGGACTTTCGGCGAGTTTATGGTCGAAAATCTTCTGGAAATTTGCTGGAATCGCACCATTTGACGAGTCGAGATGACTGAAAACTTTTTAAAATTCGCTACTACAAAGTTCCAGTCGGTTTCCGATTGAAAGATTTTATTTTCCACCGTTTCAGCTTGGCAGGTTCGTAATTCCATTTGAGTTTAACGAAAGCTGTACGATCTAAAGACGTAAAATTGCACAGCTAAAGTCCATAACTACGTCGCTGCTGATCGTCGTCCTCGCTGAAAATTCAAACTAAACACCCAATCTACATCACAAACACGCTCATGCTCAGACGCTCATTATACCGCCGCTATTGCCACGGTAATCATAATCCAACAATTATCTATCCAAACACGGGTGTAAGACCACCCGTATCACCGTCAAACTGCGCTTCCTACGTGGTTTTCATCGTTGGGAACGCCTGTGGCGACTGTTTGGCAAAGTTTGCGGACTCGTGAGGTCCACGCCGGCACGTGTGCCGTATATTAATAGACAATTGTTGCAGAAACATAGGGACGCAGGCCTCAAAGGCGTTCGCCGTGCCCGGCGTCTGTTTCAGAATTCTACTCACGCGCTCTCAGATCTGCGTTGTCCTTCCTCCGTCGTCGCCCGGATCTATATTGATCCGCGACAGACAAGCGGAGAATTAATGTTTGATCAATATCAAGCTGGATTACGATAGACTCTTGGTTACTTTATCGGCGATATCAATCCGGCCCTTGGTAAAGTTTCATCGTTGCTCGCTCCGACGTGTTTTTCCAGCTCGGCCACTTTGCGATTGAGTTTGAAATCGTTGGACTGAGATTGAGACTCTTGGAATTTTGGTGGGAATTTCGGTGTGTCAGAATTCTTGAAAATTCGTGAAATTTACAGTTGAAAACTTTTTCAATTTCTGTTCACGCAGGATTCGATGAGTTTAAACTTTTGTCGAAATTTGCCAATGAAAGATTCGGCTAGTTTGCGTTTGAGTTTGAAGTTGTTGGATTCAGATCGAGATTTTTGGAATTTTGGTGTGTCAGAATTTTCGAAAATTCGTGGAATTTTCAATTTTTGCTTGCGCAGGATTCGTTGAGGAGGAGTCTGTGAGACTTTTTCGAAATTTGCCAATGAAAAACCTGGTAGGTTTGCGAACGTTTGAAGCTTGCCAGCGCAGAGTTTCGTCGAGTCTATCAATGAAAATCTCGAAGATTTTGTAACCTCGGAAGGAATTCTTGAAATCTAACGTGTCTTTCGATCGAGAATTCGCAGAAAACAGAATATCTTTTCTCGCCGAGCAACCGGCAGAGAACACTGGAGATCCCGGTGTTACGGAATCTCTAATCGCCTTATCGAGGATATCCCCCTGTTTTCCTGTCATCGGCGAAACGGCGAGGAGACGAGGAGAAAAAAGGAAAGAAGAAGAGTGGACGTGAACTCCGGACGCGAGAGAAAGCCTTATCAAGTTTTCACGGATGTTGCAAAAGCCCAGCAGGAAAAAGTATGGCCGCTTTCCTTCGAGAGGAAACGGCCAACTCGACGACCTTCTCATACTTTTTCCACGTTAATTGCCAACAATATTGCCCCACGGAGATTGAATTCTAGTTTTTAACTAGAATGAACTACCAACTGTGAAATGTTATTTCAAGAGAATTCTCCTCTTATTGTCAGATGAGATACCTCGAAGATAATTCCGAAAGCAAAGTTACGAGTGACATCTACTGAAAACTTATATTTCACACTTTCTGAAATTTTGGAGCGTCCTAGATTCTTCGGATGCTTTTCTTACAATTTCTTTTGAAACTTCGAACTCTGACAGATACAAACGGTACAAAGCGATCACCGTAGTAATGCGACATGTTTTCTCATAATTCATAGTGAAAAGGTCTGACAAGTGTTATGGAAACAATAGCAATTTCTTTTGTTACGCGAAACAAACGAGAAAAAGCGATCACTCTCGACCCGAGTCTATTATAACGGTTTATTATTATTAGCTGAATATTATTTCAAGAAACACGCACGAGAAACGCAAGGGATACAATTTTCAAACCAGTTGCGAGTTCGAGAAACGTCGCGGCCAACTGATCCGGCGCGACCGCAGAAATTTATTCCGTCGCTGAATTATTCTTCTCGGATGGCTTGGTTTCCGGCGTGTTGATACATCTCCTCGTCAGGTTTAATTAAATCTTGAAATTGAAACCACGCCGGATCCCACATTCCGATAAAACACGCAACTGTGTTCGCCAACGCGTTTCATTTTCCCTCCTAATCCTATTATTTTATTTTCGATTCAAGTATGCAAACGATCGTTTTCAACTTGCTGGAAAGTCAAACTACCTTTCTGTTTACTTTTTTTGTCCCCGATGCTTTTAAGTTTTTCTCTTTCATCTTTGAGGGGAGGAAGGTGGGGGGATTGATTAGTTTCGAAGGAACGGATTTATTTGCGAAGTTTTAACGAGGTTTCTGGAATTGACGGGCAAGGGATCGTAGCTGTTAATTAATCTCGGTTCAATGAAAAACGGCGGCTTTCGGGAAAGGAGATTCTGTGACTAACTCTAGCCGCAATCAGAGCGATGGAGCGATTCCGCAACACCGAGAGGATCGAGCAGAACGACTCGTTGAAAACGGGAGGAGATGAACAGTTCTTATAAATTTACTGTCAGCCAATTTGATGCCAGCTTTTCAGAGCTTTCTAATTTTCAGCATAAAGGGACAAAAAGAATAGAGAAAGCTTCCTGGTTTAGAAAATTCCAAGTATACATATTTTGAAAAATTTGAAATTTCCGCAAGTTTCAAATGAACCGACGTATAACGAAAATAATTTAATGCTTTAAAAAATTCTATCTCGACTCACAGACATTTTAGTACGTCTTTAACTTTTATTACATGGAAACGAACGAATGAAAATTTGAAAAGGTAAGAAAGAATGGGAAATCAGAGAAAATTTCCCGTAGAAAATTCTGCCGTACCTCGAAACTCGTATCGTTAACTTAAAGCACTGTGAAAACTTCCACAATTTCGACTAATCCCGCTCGAGTCCGCTACGCACAGTTTCAATTAAATTCTATTTAAAACACCTCGAAAGAACGTTATAATGCTCTTCAATTACACAAGTTTCGCCGGTCGCTCATCCTTACCTCGAAAATCATCAATCATTTAATTTAATCTTTATTTTTTACATTACAGAGAATGTAAAGTGTAATAGATAGTAATAAATTTCAATGATCAAATAACTGATGACAACTGAAGATTCGTAATCAAATCCAACCAGATTAAAAATTCCAAAGTTGGCACTAAATTTTTATGGTTCTCGGCAGTCAAAAATGGCAACAGATAATAGTTGATAAAGATATTCCATTGTTCCAACGTCCCAATTAAAAAATGACAAGACACCATGAAAATTTGAAAATTGATAAAAATTTCATTGTAGAAATATTTTCTTCGTGTATGGGAGGGGACATAGTAGCGACTCGAATCACGAATTCCAATAGGTCTAAAATTCTTTTCAATCTGGGATTCCACAATTGGAATCCAATTTCCCTTGACGGATACGGGGAGAGAAACCATTTCTCTCGACCTCAGCGTCGCCGGATCTCCATAATAATCGAGCAGTGCATATAGACGATTCTGACAGCCGCACCGACTCGAATGCATCGCTATTCTTTTCGTCACTGGTTTTATACAATTTCATGTACTCATCCGAGGAAATGCCGATTATCTTCTCGAAACTCGTTGCTACATCGACAAGAGAAATACCGTATTGTGGAGAATTTTCTAGCGAGAAAAAGATTTTTATAAACATTTGTCGTAACGAAATATTTTCACTTTGAAGAAACTTGCTAGATCTCTTAGAGGCAGCAATAAAGTTGGTTAATTTTTCTCGATTGATGAACTTTTTTCCAAGAAGAAGAAGAAGAAGTTAATGCAGGAGCTAAATATCATTTGAAATAAAGTAAAATTAGCGCTAGATTGGCTAGAATCGACCGAGAATTTTCCATATCTCATTTTGTATCGACGTAGTGGAACTTAATAAAATTAATTAGTGAAATTCCCCTGCAAAATCAAACTCTCCCCAGGGATCGTTGAAATATTCCAATTAGGGATTAAAATTTCATTCAAGTTCCACCTGTTGTTCCCTAGACGAACGATGACGTTCTAAATTCCAAACGGAAGATCAACAGCAAAAAATATCCTCCCTCCGTTGTCGGTTCTAGCCCGCCCAAATCCCGTATAATCCCCCCCATTTCAAAGCCGAGTGAGCTCGCGAAACCCTAGAGCAAGATACCCAAATAAACTTACCCACAGATCCACGAGTGTCTCCTCCTGGGCACGCTGCTCTGGGGTACCAACAAAAGAGGCGCGGTGCCTCTGTTGTTCGGCCCGGTCGTGCCACCGCCATCTCCGGCCGGAAGCCGAAGCTCCGGTACCTGTAGGCTGCTCATGTTCCGGTGTGTCGCGCGTTACGTCACCAGAACAACGCCACCTCTTCGTCGTCCTCCGCGACTCTTCGAGCGAGCATCACTGAATCTCTCTCTTTCCCTCTCTTTCTCTCTTTATCTCTGAGCGTGGCTCGGCAGCAAACTTCCGGTTCACCGGGAGGTCCTCCGCGAGGACTACGAGGCAGACATGGCTGACCTCTGCGCTTGGCATCCGGTCCTGGCAGGAGAGACTGCGCATGATAAACGCGACGTTTTCAACGCGTGTGAAATGCAACTCGAAATAGTTCGTTAACCCTTCGTAAGAGAGCTCAAGACGCGAAATTCGGGAGGTTTGGAAAGGTATGTGTGTGTGTATGTGTGTATGTGTGTTAGGGACGATTTGAAATCGAATCTAAACGATTCAAACCGCAGAAATCCATCGGTCTCCTTCAGTTTTCAACGTGTAATTAATTAGAAAATTGTAATTAATCGTAATCGTAGCATTTTTAATACGACCGCTCAAAACTATAAGTGATACAAAGTGTTTTCAATGCTTGAGAAACTAAAAATATAAAAACTATTACAATTCAAAAGCAACAAGTATAAATTAGAAATTTAGCGGAAATTCAGAAAGCCCGATTTCGAAGGATTTCGAAGAATGGAAATTTGCTCGATTGAACTCCGATTGAACAGAATTTATTTCCCAGCGAGCTGTGTGTTTTGTATTTTCCAACCTACTTTCCTACTTTTCCAGCCGAGAGGGTTAAAGGGATCGGGCCACCCACCACAATGCGCGCGCGAAATGAAATTGTTGGAAAGTAAGGAACTGTTTGGACGTGTGAATTATGGATGACCAATGGATTCCCCTTTCCAATTCGCAATTCGATCAAATTAAATTCCAGCGGGCAGAGGGCCTGCCAGTTTCTTCTCAGCGCGGTGGCGATGGAATTTGACAGGCCACGTAATTTCTCCCTCTTACAAAGGGTTAAAAGGAACTCTTTTCAATTCGTCGACTGAACTCGATACATGTACGTGCACGAGTCCTTTCTTCCTGAGCTGATACCGGTGCTGTGTGCCACGTTTCGCCACAATTGATTCTACAAAAGTAGCTTCGAGAACCATTTTCATTGAAAATTCGCGCTCCGTTTCTTTCATCCTATAATCACTCCTCACGAGAAATTTTACATTGTTCCCACTTTCATCGAATCGCCCCGACACTAGTCAAGCTTATTTACTTTTCAAAGCGCTTCGATTTCCATCGAAGACGTTGGAACGAAAAGAACTTTGCAAGAACTTTGCAAATACGAAAAATTTCACGAAACGTTTTCGCTGAAACCACTGTCTCATATTTACGAAACGTATCCAACGAAAATTACAAATTGGTCATTTCGATCGGTAATTAAAGATAGAGAAAAGAGTGTTAGTTTCAGTTAAAATCTGTCTTTGAAACTTAATTCTCAACTTCTTCCTCGTTTCGTATTCTCCAACAGTTTTTACTAGAACAGGATCGTTATATCACACAGGAGGAGAGGAGAGAGAGAGATCGTTTCTTACTGCTAACGATTACCAGGCAGAGCCTCCTACAAACATCGTTAAAAAAAACGCGGCGGATGATAATTAAACAGGCGGACAAGCATTCGTTAATGTCAGACGCAAAGAGAGTTTGCTTGTTCGAACACGGAACGATGTCAAAGGTTCCTTAATGAACGAATCCTCGCTCGCCTCGCAACCGATCCCGATCCTCTCAGCCTGATCGAAACGCTTCTTTTCTTTTCCTCTCCGGCGCGGCGGTGAAACGTCAATTCTGGCCGTGATCACGCGAGATTTGCATAACCACGACGTGTAACAGGCATTGATATTTCTCTGCTCGATCGCATGCCACGAACACGATACTCGCTAATGCTCACGTTCGAACATGCATCGTGTTCCAGGTGAACGCGAAGTGAGAACGAGAACAGTTGATTACACCTAATTTTAGAACCGTGGCTCCGAACAGCTGAATCACTATACACATGATTTCAATATATGGCTGGAAATCGAACGAATTGAGTGGAATCGAATCGAAGCGGAAAATGGGACGAATGTCCCCTTCCAGCACGCGATGGAAAAATTCAAGCTGAGTTGAAGTTTCGAGGATTTCGCGGCAAAAATTCGAAGGAAAGAAAAATTTCCAAAAGGCTAGATCCTTTATACCAGTGATTTCCAACCTTTTCTTCGTTTTTTGGCCATGCTAAGCTAAGCATCTCTAAAATCCTAATTCCATCCACCCTTGCGATATATAATTCTTATTATTCAAAGAGTGAATTTTTATCGTGGAGGAAGCTTAAAATGTCCATTAACTTCCTCTCTTTCTTTCTCTATTTTTCTAAAATAACAACGACAGTTTAACAAAGCAAAACTATCGTGTAACAGAGCCAAATGGAGCTCTTTGTCGCTTCGGATGAAACTCAAGTCGAAAGGGAGGAAAATTCGAGCATTTCGATAAAAATCGCGCGTCCGTCAGGGGAGAAAGCAGTGCTCGCCTTGATGCGATGAATTTCCCTGCCAGGGGAATAGTGGACGTGGAAAGATCGTCGTTTGCTATACTTAACCAAAAGTACAAGTCATCTAGAAAAGTCTGATCGACCGTATCACGGTACGTGGCGCCAGACGCAAATGGGTCATCGAGTAATTCGGTCCCTTTCAAGACCCATTAACCCCCCAATAACCCTCTTTTCCTTTTTCTTATCATTTTCTGTTTCTTTTGTAAGAATTCTTTCTTCAAACAGAATATTACCATTCTGTCGGAGGATTTTATTCTACGAAGTGAGTACAGCCCCGCTCAGAAATCTTTAAGCAAGTACTATGTTCTTTTTGTAATGAAAATGGTGTAATAAATATAAATTATAAATTATATTTTATATAAATTATAAAATATAAATTATAAAATACAAATATAAATATAAATATAAATATAAAATATAAATTACAAATTATAAAATATAAATATAAATATAAAATATAAATTATAAATTATAAATTATAAAATATAAATATAAATATAAAATATAAATTATAAATTACGTAGTAAGTACAATATTTACTATACAAGGTGCACAGTGTCAAAAGTATAAATTATATACACGATATGTATTGTACAATATAAATTATCATACAATGACAAAACTTGTACAATTATTATATTTATGATGCAATACGAAACTTGTACGATAAACACTCTGTCAGTATATTAATATATATGTATTGTATTGTTATAATGTATATCGTATTATAAAATATGCGTACACGACAGGTTAAGAAGTGTCCTAACAATAAGACTTTTGAGCGGGAGCACGAGTCTTCGTACACTCGAAAGTAAAAATATCATTACATCAATTGAAAAACGCATCTTCTAATTCTTCGCGATGGAATCTCTCGAGCTCGAAGTTACCGGAGGAACTTTCTCGACGAAGTTTCGAAGTCGCTCGGCAAACGTGACCGTTTTTCGCCACAAGTTTCACGAAATTCTCACCTCCGCCTCGTCGAAATTCCCCGATGGATCCCATCAAACGACATCGCCAACCCGCTTTCCGTTACACCGGCGGAGTCTCAAGCAGAAATTTCGTCACCCAATTTCAGAGTTCTGCAAATCAATTAAATTTCACGAGCAAGGAACTTCCGGCAAACTGTCTTGAACGTTTCCACCATTGAGTTACGAGTTGCGCTTTTCTTCTGATTCGTGTTTCATTTTTTTTTTTTTTTTTTTCTCTGAAACGTGTCCTTGGTGTCCCGTGCCTCACTAAAGTTTGACAAGACATACTACGAGATCATTCTTTCACAAACTAAGGAATGAAACGCGTACGAGAAAAATGCTTGACCCTAAGTACGTGAATGTATTAATTGAACAAATGAAATAAATAATTTTATTCTAATTAATATTTAATTTACGCAATTTAAAAATATTTCTCGTTACCAAATCTACCATAGATGGTTAATTGAAGACAATGACCTCTTGAATCTTGTTTTGCGATTTTTCTTCGCCATTTTATTGAACGTCGAACATCAGAGTTAGACAGAAAGTCTTAAAATTTCCTCGTCTAACCTTAATGTTCAAAGTTCGATGAAACGACGAGAAAAGAAAATCGTACAGCGAGTTTCCAGAGGTCGTTGTAAAGAGTTGACTTCATTCTTCGAAGTTACAAAAAAATTTTTCCAACACGCGTATTGAATTTCTACAATTTCATTTTTCCACTCGCCAGACCAAATCGTCCAAAAAGATCATCTTCGAAAAGAAGAAACACGTTTGGAAATTGATATTTTTAGTTTCTGCAACGAAGCTGAAAACTGAATTAACTATTTTAGGCGCACTGTAGATTCCACAGCGCCAGAAAATTTCGGGAACAAGACCAAGTACAGATCTCATGGCACGTAGCTGATTAATTAACGAAGCCGTGTAATTCCGGCGCGGTCTTCAATTACTGACCTCGTAGAACCTTCTCGTCGTTCCCCTCATCTATCGATCAGACGATCGAGATCGATCGTTGCTTTGTGCGTCTCGCGTAAGTACGGGACGATTCGCGGGGCCCTGAAAGCCGAGAGGGCGTAATCGATGCACTTTGTGCCTAGTAATTTGATCATCCGCGCGAAACCTCGTAAGGATCGACGCCTGGCCCTTTTCTTGCCAGGATCCCGTTGTCTGTCTCGAGACCCCTCTCTCGGGCCTTTCGTCGATAAATTATCGGCTCGTTAACCCGCCGCTAATTACACGTTAAACTTCTCCGTTTTCATTAAACGACCTCTCCGCCTCTCCTTACAATCTGCGCGATAATTTCACTTTGATCGATAATTCCGAACGCATCGGAAGATTGATTGAAAAGATTTTACTTTGACTGTGTGTGACAGTTAACAGCTTCGTTGTTAATTTTCTCCGCACTGTTATGCGTAGGATTCGAAACGAAATTTTCAGTCAGTTAATTAGTTGAATATTCTGTCATATTTCGGATATTGTAATTTATCATTTAATAGAACGCGGGGAAAAACGAAACAATAAATTATTTGTGCGATTTATATGTACGATAGAACCGTATGGGATACAGTAATTTCGAGAGAGTTTGTAATCAGGGAAATTTCTAATTAATACAAGAATACATCAACAATTTTCTCATACGGTGAAATCTCTTTTGTTCGCAACTATAACACGAACAAATAATGCATTATTCATGATACTTAAAGGTAGGACGTTGATCGAGTAATTAACAAAATTTGCATAGGA